ACATTAGCGCCGCTTCTGATTACAAAATTACGCTGACATTAAGAAGGACATTAAAGGAACACCGCTATCAAGCCGTTCATCAAGAAAAAAGCAGAAACAGATTAATTTTCAACAATCGCTTGAATGTTCCTCGCTTAACGCGCACGTGACTCTCGCGTCGCACATAATCCTCGACGTTTCGATTTATTTCCAAAAGTATAAGTCAATCATAAGTGCAGACGAATTTCTTTCACCTGTAAGAGGAATCATGGCTAAAATGAACGACACGAAGGAGTGGAGTATCGCTAGGATGGGTATTTCTCTGCTTTTGAATAACAAAACGGAGGAAGCGGAAGCCCTATTTACCGGACACCCGCATAGCTTCCACATAAAAGCAGGTCGCTGCTTTGTCTTATTCATGGTACGTAAATAATACATGCGGCAACTATTCGGTTCAACCATGTTCTACGTTTATTAAGAATTAATGGAAAAGAAAGATAGTTCCTCGAGGTAATTTTATCTGAGCTTCTGTGAAAATTCTAAAGCGCGAAAGGAAATTTGTCGCGTTGTTTAAAAAGAAAAACAAGTGTGAGATAAAAATACCCTGGATAACGTGTCGCGTGCTACGTTTGTACGTTATCTGTTAGATCAATCTTAATAAGAGTTCGCGATGTGACGCTCTTGAAGTAGAAACAGAAAGGAATGATCGTTAAATAAATTTTTAGAATGCACTGATGACCTTCGAGAACGATAAGCTTCAGCAGGCTATATTTCTGCTGAAGGATATGGAAAGAGAATGCGCGAGTGACATAGGATGGCTGAAATCTATGAAGAGCAAAGTCTTCAAAGCGGAAGAAACAGGCGTAACTATCACCTTATAATTAAAATTTTGCTTATCAATTTTATTTCTATTACGACATAAATTGATATAATATTTATATATATATTGATATTATATATATATATATATATATTGATATATATTGACATATATTGACATATTGATATTTATATATTGATATCAGCATTGATAAATTGATAAATTGATAGATCAATAGATCAATAGATCGACAGATCGATAGGTCGATAGGTCGATAGGTCGATAGGTCGATAGATCGATAGGTCGATAGGTCGATAGGTCGATAGGTCGATAGATCGATAGGTCGATAGATCGATAGATCGATAGATCGATAGATCGATAGGTCGATAGGTCGATAGATCGATAGGTCGATAGGTCGATAGATCGATAGATCGATAGATCGATAAATTGATATATTGATAAAATATAAACATTGATCTTCTTGTCATATAATATAAACATAATATAAACATTGGTTTTTTTTGTGGTATTATTGACTCAAAATTAATTGATATTGGTGGATGAGCAATGAAAGTCAGATGGGTAGAGTAAACAAAATGGTAGGGAAAAAAGTAAGAGAAATCATGTACAGAGGTAATACGGGGATATTGATAAGAATATTAATATTGTAGAAGGACTATGTATGTAAATTGGAGAGGCAAATAGTTCTCGCAGACTCGCAAGTCTGTTCGGCGATATTAACGTTGCTGCAACAAGAATTAACTGGTTACGTACGAGGTGGTTGGATGTTACGTAAAGCTTGGCGAGTTTATCAACATGCATATTCGCAGATCTTGCAGTTGTACCAGCGCACATTTGGTTCCAATCCATCGGGTATGTAATGCTTCCAGTCTGTGGCAATTTTAAATTCGATAAAAATGTGAATTGCGATTTTGCAACTGATCAGGTTGTTCAGATGAAAATAATGGAAAATTAATTAGAAAATATTGGTATTTAAGAATTTCTTACAAAATTACAAACTTTCATAGTATTCCAATATTTATTTATTTACCTCCTAGCAACTCTTCGTTAATGAGTGAAACAATACAAAATACTTGAATGAAAAGGAAGTTTATCGTGCAGAAATGAAGCGTTCCTCGTGATTTGGATTAGGTTTCGACACGCGGTGCAGCACCCCTTCGTGCAACGGCTCTTCTTACTCGCTGCAAAGTCTACATAGTCCAGGTTCCTCGGAATGGTCTATACCATCTTGCAACGGTTCAACAAACAATCCGACACCGATCTCGTCGCCCTCAGGTCTGCGAAGCTCTCTATCAATGTTCTTCTCGCTCACTGGCATCACGTCCGAACAACAGACACCGTAATTGTTGTTTCTTCTTACAAAACATTTCTCTATCACTGCCTCTTTCTTTCCTCACCTTTTACACACGAATTAAAATAACATGAAATTCTACTCTCTGCTATTACATTGGGATGGTTCACTCCTTCGAGACAAACAAACTTCTTTTACACTTAGATCGTTGTTCAACCCTTTCAGCGGCACAATGACAATGACTCACTATGTGTATCAGAAAGAATTGTCGAAAAGTTCCTCGATTTCAGACTGTATATCTATTTAAATGCAAAGTGAGTTCATTGGCGAAAGCTGTTTGCCGCTGAAAGAGTTAAGATCATCGACACGCTGAATGAAACGTTCCTAAGAACGCTGTGACAATCTAATGTCCGTAATCTTTCAGAGAAAGAAAAATCGATGGAAATGTGAAAGTGTGACGTGTTTTTTGCAGCTTCGTCGAACCTTCCGAGGTCTCGCGATTGATGTCGGCGGTTAGCTTCGGTTACGGGATTTATCAACTGTGCGTCAGTTTATTGCCACCTTCTCTTCTAAAAGTGATCCACTTTCTGGGCTTCGAGGGCGACAGAGAGGCCGGGCTCACCGCGTTAATGTACGCTCGCCTCAGCGAGGATATGCGAGCTCCTCTCGCCACGTGAGTTAATACGAAAACATATTAGCATAACGATCGTATCTGTATGTTCCGTCTGTATGAATGAACGTCACTTCCAGCTTATCTCTACTTTGGTACCACACAATCGCGCGTCCATTTTTTGCCCTCGATGGAAGCAATCTGCGTGCTGGTGTACACGCGGCGAAACAATTGATCGCGGAGTGTCATTCAGAATTTAGCAATTCCGCGCTTTTCCTCTTTTTTGCTGGTCGAATAGAGAGGCTCGAGGTAAAAAAAAAGGAGAAATTTTAAGTGCTTCTCAAATAAATTCCTGAAAGCGTTACGGATATTGTTTTATAAAGAAATACCAAGAGAATATTGCTGTTCTCGCATCGAGAAATATTGCTACCGCTATTAAAAAAAAAAAAAAAAAGAGAGAGAGAGATTTTTCTCGAAGTTATATCGATGCAGTTTATCTTCGTTTGCGATGCAATTTATGATGGAATCAATTTCATCCCGCAGTCGAATGTAAATGGCGCTCTGCAAGCGTACGCAAAGGCCGTGGAAGCTTCAAGTCAAAGAGAGATCAAACTGTTGTGCCTGCACGAGGTGGCTTGGTGTCATCTGATTCGCCTGAGTTACGAAGAAGCTTACCGATCTCTGACGCAATTGCGGCAACAGTCCAGGTGGTCGGTGAGCTTCTACGCTTATTTAGCAACTGGTACAAAGATTGTTTGTTCCCCTTTTCTTTTTCTTTTTTTTTTTTTTTTTCCTTTTTATTCTCTTCAAAATATTTCTTCGCAGTTTGCTGCGGCGCGATCGGTAAATTCGACGTGGTGGCCTCGTCCTATCGGAAGATCCTCCACTGTGACAATCGAACGAGCAGAGAGACTCAACTGGGTCTGTTCGTCTTGCGTCGAGCTCCTAAACTTCTGGATCAGGAAACTGGCCAGCCTTACACGGTTTTGTACTACAGGCTACTCGTCTATGAATTACTATACCTATGGAACGCGATGCCGTCCTGCTCTGTAGACTCGTTGCAAGGAATACTCTTAGGTAATCGGAGAGATTTCACTCTACTGTTCGAGTTTCGACTATTCCATTTGTAATTGTCGTTCCACTCGTCAGAATGCAAAGGCAATCTCTCGGACGAGCCGATGGTTGGCTTGGCCAATTTGATCGAAGGAGCAGCTTACTCTTACCTCGGCGACACTCAAGCAGCGATCGAAAGTTACAGAAGCTGCCTGAAGCGTCGCAGTCCCAACAACGATGCGTGCGACCAACACGTTAGCGCGTTCGCGCTCTACGAACTCGGCACTGCGCTCTGCGGTGTCAATGTAAGCAAGAAACAGTATCGACCAATCGATATATCGGAGAAAGTTCCAACGATTCAACGAGCGTCCCATTTCAGAACGTCGACGAAGGGAAAATAGTCCTTTTGACAGCTCAGAATCAATACAGGGATTACGACTTCGAGAGCCGGCTGAACGTACGAATACACACGAGCTTGAGGAACTTCAACTGACGACGAATGAAAATCGAACGGCTGCGGCTTCGTTTGCTGCAGAACTTACCGACGCAGTCCAAAGTACGATGATAATCAGACACACACCATGTGAAAACAACTGCTCCACTTTGTTAACCCTTTCGCTACCGGCCGATTC